ACAACCGAGTTGACTTCGTGCATCATCCGCAGCCATTTCACATATCTGCACGCATGTAGGAAGGGCACGAAATAACCAACCAAATCTCGAGATGTCTAATTAAGTTGACAAAATCAATCTGTTATAAGTAGGTAGGATTGCAACCAGCCAACCTATCCAAGCGCATGAAGAATTTTCGCAGACCATGACTTTTCGATCTGGCGATGTCTTCCATAAAACAGATGAAAGGTCAGCGCAGAAGCATAAGTATCAAGAACTTATTCACAAAAACCTATAATGACAACTTTAAGGCAACCCTCCTTCAGCCTTTGATGGGGCTATTTACTAATACGATAAATTCGCTATTTAAAACGAAATCAAGGGAACAAAAACAAATTGTTTAAGAGATTCTTGAAAATCTAACCTGACATTTATTTAGTTTAACGAACCTTGCATAAGTCCAACCGGATCACCCGAAGTAACCCCCATGAAGCAGTCTGAAGGATCATTTTTAATTAATTCCTTGTTTTCGATTCGCCTTCCTACTTCACCAATAGAAAGCAAGCTCTGTCGGAGAAAAATGAAATGACGCACAATCAACAGATCCGATGGGCCACATCCACCAGTAGCTCGGTCTGATTCATCAGTACTACAAATTGTAGTATCAATGGCCTTGGTATCGCCGTCGTCATCATTGCTTGAGCCAGAACCAGAAGAAATATCAAACTGCTGCCAAATCGGATCAAGAACGCATTGTTCGACGATGCTAGGAATAGAAAGGAGTGGAAATTTGTGATCCAAGTTACTAGACCCAGCGCAGCCACTGATACGTCGGTTGGCAGAAAGGGAGCACGTGGTGCTAGATACGGATAGGATAGAAAGGGGTTTATCCCATTGTTTTGCAGGATCTGATGGAGAGTATAGTCGGAGTTTACTATTTGTCGTTGAAAAAAAGAATAAGAAAGGGGATTGAAGTAAGTAGAAAAATGGAATTCTGATAGTAAAGGATCAGCAATGACCGAAAAAATAAATTGCTAATATAATTACATTATTACATTCAGATAGCAAATATATAGAAAAACGATTGTATATATATGCATGCATATATATGTATATATATATATATATCAATAGAAAAACAATTAATAAATAGGTCTCGTCCCCAATCAAGTGATAAAATATCTCGGAAAGGCAGTAAGTGCCTAATTTATAGTTAAGAAACAAAGCCTAGTTATATAAGCAATTAAAGGGGAGGATGATTATACAATGCCAAAAATACCTATCAGTGAGAGAGTATTGTTCCTTAAGATGCGAGCACATAGCAAGCAAAAGCAAACAGGCGGGGGCCTGTTGCATCATAGACGCACGAGCTGTCCGTCTAAGTGTCTCTGGTCGAGCTTGAGAAAGCCTAAGTGCAAGTTGCTCTTCAACTGGCTTTGCATGGGGATCTCGAGTTTTATCGCTATCCCGACCTTTAAAGCGATTTTTGTCACTTTTTGCCACCTTAGTTTGTGCAGCCGAAACAAAATCCATCTCAGCCTCAGCCTCGTCAAGGAGTTTAGACAAACTTTCCCCTGCCTGTTGGTAACGTTGTTGTCGCTGCTGCTTCAACCGGCATAGCATAGCTTGATCCTTGCAATTGTCATTTTCTAAATTGGCGAGAAAAGTTGAGATGAGGGCCTCGTTGACAGACTGAAGAGCATTTGAGCCGAGGAGGCCAGCCTTTTCAAAAAGCGTAGAAAAAAAGAATTAAGTTGGCTGAAATAAAAGTATACATAAAAGAATATAAACGTTAAGAGTTATAGAATTTGAGGCGCACTGTTTATAATTCTGGCAGAATAAATTATAAAAAGGAGGAATCAACTAATTTTCGGAGGCCCCATCAGTCCCTGCCCTGTCCAGGCCCTCGTTCTGCTTTATCTATCAAGAATGATGGGGGATAAGCGATATCAGTCTACCCTAGATCAGAATACCTTATGGGAAAGCATTCTATGTGAAATTCAATGGGAGCGTCAGCCCTACACATATCATTGTGGGAAAATTCAAT